AGCTGAGAATTTACTATATCGAAGCTCACTCTAAGAGCTTTAAAATAAGCCAAGTTGCCTTGCGAAAAGTTTTGCCATTACGAAGTTATGGCTCGGACAGCGTTAGCCTAGCGTTGGAGTGCTAGCGTACTAGCGTTGACTCGAGTAGCATTCCGCCGTCGCACCACGTAGAAACGAAATTCCAGGAAGGGAGGAATTCGCTTGAATCAATTTCACTATATTCAGGTACAAACAGAGAAGGAATAAATAGCTCTAGCTAGCAAGGACCTTGGGAATCAACCTGGGAACAACCAGGGATGATCCCAAATAATTCCAAGCAACAGAACCAACCTGGCTGGACAAAATAGCAGGTGGTAGGTTGGTGAACAACCTCTGGTTCTGTTTTTCCAACCTGGGAAAACAACAACCAGGTTCAGGTCCTAAAAACAGAACCTGTTTTGTCTTTGCCCAACCAGCCAAATGCTGGTTCCGCTGGTTTCCCCTGGCCCTGTAGCATGCAGATACAGACAAACAACATCCAACCTTTACCTAAATTGTACCCCTATAGTGCCTGCTGTGCTACACTATAGTCAACCAAACAAAACAGTACAATTTCGAGTTGGATAGAACTGAATCTGCGCAATCAAGTAAGCCGAACCACAAAGCTTCCATCTTGGGTTCCTTTGCAAGCTCGTCCTTTCTGCTTGTACTGTTCATAGCGCGTACAATGTTGTGCCGAAACGCATAATGCGCGAGTACCTGCAAATGCTTCAAGCGAAAATTGCGAAAGCAAACAAACACACGAACATACCATTCACACGCAAATGCATTCGCACACGCATACTCGTACAAACAGACGGCAGGATGTCGTGCAATGTGAATTTGCACCCAACAAGCAGGAATTTATGCTGAAGACCCAAAGCCTTCATCTAAAGAATCAAGAGCATTAAGAGCTCGCAAAAAAAATTCATTGAATTGTGTAGTGTAGCATAGTTCTTGGTGTAGACCCTTATGGTGGGTGGTTTCCACACCTTTCGAGAGTGGGGACGGTTTGACTCTGTTATAGCTCCTTGGAACTCGGCTCTTGAGGTTTGTAGGGGCTGGAAGTCATTTACGACTCGTAACTCTTCCTAGTTTGAGTCCCGAGACTATAGTGGCTGACAGAGTGCCGTTTCTTCAAACTGAAGTTGCGTTGTCAATATTTGACAAAATCGTGCTATGTAAAATGTCCGAAGCTCCAGATCCAATATGAATCAGGTCATTTGGAGCTGTGACCAAAACGCTATCAATGTTTGAAGCTGCTGTGCAGAGAAATCCAATTGTGCGCTCTATCTTTCGTTTTATGTACATTTGAGCCTATTGTGATTATAACAATGGATTGATGCCCAGCTTTCTCGAACGTGCTGTGTTATCTTGAGAGAGGGCATGTACAGTAACGGGATCCAATTGCCAAAAACTGAGCAGTCCACTAGAATGGGTTACAATTGTGATATTTTGCATTGTATAATCGCATCATATACTACATTTTCGCCTCCTAGAAAAAGAAAAAGAAAAAACAAAACAAAACTGGCATACTGGAATCGTGCTCTTATACCCCTTGATCCCATGCATGCATTCTCCCATCCCAAGGTCCGATGCTCTTTGGTCCCATTGCTTCAAATGGACACATCAATATGTCATGGCAGTAGATAAGTTGATATGCCACAGAAGTGAGGGAAGTCAGAGCGAACCTTAATTTTCTATTCCACACTGTTCCCGTCTCACCTCCCTTCGCTCCTTGGCCTATTTTGCCCCATTATGACCCTCCCCGATCCTGTTTGCAGCATAATAATGGATATGAAAACCGTTTTTCTATGCAACGCCATCATCTGTCATGTCATCCATTCCCCCCACTTCTCTCAGTAGTACTACCCTTCCTCTCTGCGGAGATATCTACTACAACGGGAGCTACAGGGAAGGCACAGGTAGAAGTGATCATAGCGTTCCTTAGTCGTTTTCTTGGGTTCCCTCCACGCACATATTCACGGGGAGACTTGGCAAGAGTTTCACTAGCAAAAGTTGAGAACAATGGTTGACAATAGCAAGGCAACAATGACTGCATTAGATGCTACCAAGCATATAGGTAGACTGCCAGCACAGCACGGTCGACCACGTTCCAGCGCTGCACAGTCGACCATGCTCCAGCAGTGCAAAGTTGCGGTCTGCCAACGCTGCAAGTCGACGGCGTTCCAACGCTGCAGCAAGGCGGCTGCATAGCATTGCACTCGCAAAACAGCAGCGCACCTACTTTGCAAGTGCTCACAGTTGATTGGCGTGCTGTGCCCCGTCACCTGCACAGAGCAGACACCAAATCATCCACGTGCTATTGAGTGCACCTGATCAGACATGCCGACCTCGGGATACCACCTCAGAGGTCGGCTTTGCCAGAAACACCTGGGCGACTACCGTGACCCTCCGCAGAACCCTGTCGCCCGGGTAACCTGGTCGACTAGGCAACCACGTTGACCAGTTGTTCCTCCTTGTGCCCGTCGACCGCCTATGTCGAGGACCATCACCGGTTGACCACACCCCTGGTCGACCAGCTCCAGGTCGACCAGCCCAACAGTCAGCTGACCATACCAAGTCGGCTTAACCAGGTTGGCGTCACCAAGTCGATGCCCTCCCAGGTTGACCTCCCAAAGTCGGTGCCATGCCCAAGTCGACGTCTCCCCTTGTCGACCACCGGGTCGAAGTCGGCCACCGGCGTCCCAAAGTCGGTGGCATTGTAGTGGCCCCGTGCAGGTCGACCTACTCTGTCGACCAGCTTGCCCAAGTCGGCATCGCCCACTGCTGCGGGTCGGCTGCACCTCCCGCACACCCGACCATGAATTCGGCTCCGCCCAAGCGATGACGGGGCCAACACACAACTCCCGTTGACACTCCCCCGCCGCGTTCACGTTTGGGCCTCCAGCCCGCACGACAGCACCACTCGGAGAACAGCTCGTCGACGTGCACACAACACACAACAGGCTGATCACCACACCACCCATGCACGAAGGCATGGCACCTACAGCTGCACGTCATCGTGACCGTCGCCGACGTCGGCCAGACGCTCTTGGCCGATTGTGACGGGGCACTGGTTGAAGGCCATAAATTGCAGCGCTTTCCTCAGGAAGTCGGCCGGCTGCTCGATGGTCAGGGATGTACTTCAGCGTGAATTTCCTGCGCTTCACCATATGCTGTAGTCAGGTATATCGCTCCATGTGCTTGAGGTTGCCCTGCAGCCCTAGACCCTCGGCGGCTATGACGGCCGACTTGTTGTCCACCCGAAGGACGGTCAGCGTCTTGGCGTCCAGCAGCCGGAACTCTGCAAGGAGGACGCGAAGTCGGCGTCCCTCCTTGCCGACTTCCGTGGCAGCCATGTACTCTGAATCTGTCAATGAAAGTGTCACGCACGTGATGCGCTGGCTTGACTAGGAGACTGCGGCCCCTCCAAAGATGAATACGTAGCCTCCCGTGCTCGTCCGGTTCTGCCTGTTGCCAGCATCGTCAACGTCCACGTAGCGGACCAGCTTTAGTGACTCTGGTCCACCTCCAAACTCCAAGGCTGTGTCACAAGTGTTGGCGAGATAAGCGAGGCAGCGGTCAACCTCGCGCCGGTGCTGGTCGCTCCTTGTTGAGTGCAAATTCACATTGCACGACATCCTGCCGTCTGTTTGTACGAGTATGCATGTGCGAAAGCATTTGGGTATGAATGGAATGTTCGTGTGTTTGTTTGCTTTCGCAATTTTCGCTTGAAGCATTTGCAGGTACTCGCGCATTATGCGCTTCGGCACAACATTGTACGCGCTATGAACAGTACAAGCAGAAAGGACGAGCTCGCAAAGGAACCCAAGATGGAAGCTTTGTGGTTCGGCTTACTTGATTGCGCAGATTCAGTTCTATCCAACTCGAAATTGTAGTGTTTTGTTTGGTTGACTATAGTGTAGCAGGGCAGGCACTATAGGGGTACAATTTAGGTGAAGGTTGGATGTTGTTTGTCTGTATCTGCATGCTACAGGGCCAGGGGAAACCAGCGGAACCAGTTTTTGGCTGGTTGGGCAAAGACAAAACAGGTTCTGTTTTTAGGACCTGAACCTGGTTGTTGTTTTCCCAGGTTGGAAAAACAGAACCAGAGGTTGTTTACCAACCTACCACCTGCTGTTTTGTCCAGCCAGGTTGGTTCTGTTGCCTAGAATTATTTGGGATCATCCTTCGTTGTTCCCAGGTTTATTCGCAAGGTCCTTGCTAGCTAGAACTATATATTCCTTCTCTGTTTGTACCTGAATATAGTGAAATTGATTCAAGCGAATTCCTATCTTCCTGGAAATTCGTTTCTACGCGGTGCGACGGCGGAATGCTACCCGAGTCAACGCTAGTACGCTAGCACTCGAACGCTAGGCAAACGGTGTCCGAGCCATAACTTCGTAATGGCATAACTTTTCGCGAGGCAACTTGGTTCATTTTAAAGCTCTTAAAGCGAGCTTCGATATAGGAAATTCTCAGTTTAATCCGGTCGACGGTCTGCACGATACACTGCGCGACGTTCAAGGTACTCTTGCTGTTTTGACTAAGTCCCTCTTGATCCCTCTCTCTACAAACTCGGACCCGAGGATGGGGGCTGGTCTTGTACCAGGCACCCAAGGACCCTTGGAGGTGACCCTGATGAGAGGTTTTAAGTGTGATAAAGTCTTAATAGCTTGAGTTTATTAGGCGCTTATACCAACAACCTCAAGCAGGACGTGGCGGCGCTGCCACCCCTCTCCGCCCCCTCCACCTACTCCTTCAGCAAGACAGCAGCGCGTGCCACCCGCCTGGCGCTAATCGCAAAGCAGGTGCGGGATGAGGACAGCCTGGCCGCCGTGCTGCCGCCCCTGCGGACGGTGCTCTCCGCATGGCTGGACGGTACCTTCTCTGGTAACCGCTTGCTGTACGACCCTACGTAGGGTGGCGTGGTTAGTGAGGCGGGGTTGCGTGACCAGGGGGCGGAGTTTGGAGCGGGCATGTACAACGACCACCACTTCCACTACGGCTACTTCATCTATGCCGCTGCCACCGTCGCCAAGTTTGATTCCGCGTGGCGCGACCAGTACCGTGCGCCACTCAAGGACCTGATGGTGGACTACATGTCTGCGGAGTGCACTGTTCCCGAGGCTGCGGCACTTTGACGCGTACGCGCTGCACTCGTGGGCCAGCGGGCTGTTTGAATTCGTCGACGGGCGCAACCAGGAGAGCTTTTGCGAGGCGGCCAACGCGTACTACGCGGCGGCGCTGCTGGCGTCCGTGCTGGGTAACCAGCCGCTCGCCACGCTGGGCGCCACGCTGGCCGCCGTGGAGGCCCTCGCCGGCCAGACCCTCATGCACATGCCGCTGGCCTCGTCTTATCCGCATCCCTCCCTCTCACCTGGCTACAATGTGGTATTTGCGGATGGCAATCGCGTGGTGGGAATGCTGTGGTCCACCATGTGTGACGCGGCACTGTAGTTCGCCCCGCCTGCGGACATGGAGAAGCGCGTGGGCATCCAGGTGCTGCCCGTCTCGCCCTTCCTCACCCACCTCTTCCCGGACCACGAGTTTGCCAAGCAGCTCGTGGAGTGGGCGCAACCCGTGCTGACTCGCGCCACCACGCACGAGTGGCGCAACTTCGCGTGGGCGCTGCAGGCGTTGTACGACCCGCAGGGGGCCAGGACGAACATTGCTGCTCTAACGGCGTTTGATGATGGCAACTCCAAGACCAATATGCTCTGGCGTCTCATACAGTATATTTTGGTATTTGTGCATGTACAAAACGGCTTTCACATGGCCTTGCTCACATGTATAGTCAACATCTCTATTTATACTCATGGCATTGCTTTTCCTCCTTTTTTCTTTCCCAAATACAGTAACCATCTCCAAAAGCAGCCACCTCGGACTCCGCCTCATTGGGAGCCATGTCCCATCCCATTTCGTACGTCATTCTATGCACGAACCAAGTGTCCCTCCCCCTCTTGCATGTTCCTCATCTTCCCTCCATCACCTTCCCATCTACTCCCCCACCATCTCAGTCGGGCTGCACCTCTCCATGCCTTCCACATTACGTGCACCACAACTGCCTTGCCTACCACTTTCAACACCTTCCCCATGCCCCACGTGTTGCTCTCTTTCCCCTTCTCTCCAACCTTCATTCCCTCTTTCCCCCACCTCTCCTCCTCGATGGCGGATGGCTATTGGTGGCAACAAAGAGGCGCTGCAATCACTGCAATAGTCCATCTCGCCCCTCTCAACCCAACTTCCATTCCTATTCCCTTCCCTCTCCCCTCATTATGTTCTAATGTATACGGCCTCATCACTTTCTAGTTGCTTGACCCCGTTTCTTGAGATGACTGGCAGACAGATTATGACAGATGAGCGGAAAAAGTCAGGGAGAACATGAAAGGTGAACATAAAGAAGGTGTTGTGATTTCAGCAGTGTAATGGTGCCAGTTGCCTTGATTTTGGTGATCGGTAGACCAAGGTAGCGCTGCAGCTTACCAAGGTCAATACAACTGTGTCTCATCTGGAGTTCCTTCTTCACGGAGGACAGTGCGTGTCTGTCAGGAGTGGCAAAGATGGGTAGCCTAGGGCAGGCCATCTCGGTCGATGCAGCTGCCACTAGGTCCCAGCAGGGAAAGAGCTAGTGAATCCAGGTGGGCGACGCAGCCAGATCTGGTCATGAAGGCTCCCATACAGAAACGTTGTGGAGAAGTTCAAGGACTGCAACTCGTAGTCGAGCTGAGCTACGATATGCAACAACACCCAAAGAGTGGTCATCTTCTGGGTGGGAGCAAGGGTTTGGAAAAGGTATACTCCGTCTTGGTGGCTGAAGCCTCTTGCCACATAGCGCTCCTTGAACACCGGTGGTGATCCAGGCGGCCGCTACACCTTGTAGAGCCACATGCCACTGACGACGTTCGCCCTATATGGTGGAACGGCGTCAGCATAGGTGCATGGAGACCTATAAGATGCCATCTCTGCCTCCTCTCTCGCTATCGAGTACGAAGCCCAGGGTCCCAAGATTGCCTCGACGTGGGTGCGAGGGATTGGGATGTCAAATGTGTCTGTACCCCCCTCAGGGGCAAGCAGCATGGCCCAGAGATGAGGAACAGCGGCCACAAGGAAACCAAGCTCGAACTGCTTGTCCTCAAGGACCTTCAGGAGAAAGACAGGAGCACCTCCAGAGGACTGTAAACGAGCAGGGCCACTCACCAGGTTAGTGGCGTAATCAAGGTGGTGGGAAGAGGCAAAGACAGCGGCAGTGGTAACAAGAGCCGAGACAGACAATGGGGGGGCACTCGGGTGAGTGATGGAACAAAACACGGGAGACGACAGGACGGGAGGCACAAACGTAGTCGGACAACAGGTCGTGAAGCACAGTGAGGGATGACTCTGGAGGCTGTGGAAGGAAAGGAGGAGGTGGAACACGAGAGCGAAGAACAAGGCGAAACGGCCCGTCTGTACGGTAACAGGACCGACTAGGCTCTGGAGACACAGCATGATTGAGGGGAGAACGACGAGTTTACGGGGACGATGAAAGGGACTCGACAAGAGGAACAGGAAGGGATGGTAGGGGACCACGAACCAAGCATGTAGGTGCAGGGTCGGGCAAGTCGCTGCTGCTCCGCCTCCTCTAGCGTGTGCTGCGACGGCACTTGCCTTTGCTGCTGCTCCTGTGGCTCCTCCTCCGCGCTCTCCTGCTGCAGCTGCAGCTGCGCCTCCTGCTGCGACCGTAACTCCTCCTCTACCCTCTCCTGTTGTGTCAGCAACTACACCTGCTGCTATGGGCGGGACTCTTGCTCTACCCTCTCCTACTATGACTGCACCTGCTCTTGCTGCTGTAGTTGTGACTCCTCTACTCTCTCCTGTTGCAACTGCAACTGTACCTGCTGCTGCAATAGTGACCCCTCCTCAAACCGCTCCCACTCCTCCCTCTCCAACCAGAGGAGACGCTGCTCACGGGTCAGGAAACGTACAGTGCGCGGTGTAAGCGCCATATTGCAAGTGCCTCTGGCTCCAGCACCCCCAAAACCAGCACCTCCACCACCGTCACCCCCGTTGCCTCCATTATCTCCCACAGAAACACCCCCTGGCTCCACAGCAACCGGCCGCAGAGAAGAACGAGGAGGGAACTGTGGGACGGACGGGAAGCTAGGGGGTGACGCGGAGTGAGGCCGCCGAGTCGAGGCTACTGTGTCCTCTAGGGGAGTGACCTCCACGCCCACACCCCCTGCACCCCCAGAGCCGACACCACCAGCTCCAGTAGCCCCAATACCCTCACCCTCCGCAACTGCACCTCCCTCACCCCCAGACACGACATGGACTGAATGCTGCGGGGGAGACGACTACAGAGTGATTTGCGACACACCTGATAGGGCAGGACATGAAAGGGGGGGGGGGGCTATTAGGGCGACTGGGGGGGGGATCAAAGGTGAGGAACAAAGCGGGGGGGAAGACCTCACTATCTCGGTAGGGGTGACTCCTGTAGTAACATACAGACTCGTCGAACGTGACATCCAGGGAACTAAAGAACTGGTGTGACCGGGTTGTGAAACATCCAGCCAGAGGCGTCCAAAGGGAAGCCAAAAAAGATGCACGCAAGAGTGCGCGCAGACAACTTGTTCGGGTCAGCGGTGCGAACGTGAGCCAGAGAATCCCAGACGCAAAAGTCAGCTGCTACGCCTGGAGAACCTTTCCAAAGGGAGACCTGCATCACCTGTAGCCATGTGTCACTGGGCCACAGGTTCAACTGGTGCGTGGCGTAGCGGACTGCCTGGGACCACAGGAACTAGGGGGCACTGGCATGGCACATGGAGGTCCGGGCAACTTGCATGACCAGGCCGATGCTTCGCTTGGGCTACCCTGTTTTGTTGCGACGAGTTTGGTAGCGTGTAAAACTGGATGATCCCCCGACCCTGACAGTACGTCTCCAGGCGAGTGGAAGAAAACTCACTATCACGGTCTGAGTGTAGGCGGAGCCTTCACAGGCTTTGAGAGCCACCTCTTGATAATAGCAACAACTGGAGGACAATAGGCACGTTGGTCTTCCGTCGCAAGGAAAATATTGTGGTGTAGCAGAGTAGTCATCCATCTTAATCAGTAATTGCGCTCCGGACGTGGGCCAAGGACCGGGGAGGGGCCCGTCCAAGTGCAAGGTCTGGAAGGGAGCCGTGGTGGGGGGTAACTAGGAGTGAGGGGCAGCACGCTGCTGTCCCTCGACGTAAGGAGTGCACAGCGGCATAGGCGAGCGATTAAGCGGGCGTGACCCAGGGAGACCTGAAACCAAATGGTGATGTAACATCCTACTGAGACGTGTGAACGACGGGTAACACGGATAGTGGTGCCAGAGGACCGATGAGTGGGTGAGTGACCCACAGTCGCACGACATAGCAGCTATATAACCTGACATGACCTGACCTGACCTAGTATGGTGGGACCTAGTGTGTAGTGAGTACAGACCAGAGCACGGCTCCCTATGGAGTGGCCAGAGGGGCCCCAATGACACCAATTGTTCAGGAGGCAACAGGCTCGTCCAGTGGGAAAGTAGTAACTATACCTAGGTCGAAGAGGTGACTAACACTAACCAGGTTCCTAGAGAACGAGGGGGTATAGTAACCTGTGAGAAACCAAGAGGGAGCCGCCAGACAAAGGAGAGTGGTGGTGATATGGGCAACTACAGGTCCCACGGAAGGGTCAGCCAAGGCGAAAAAAACAGCTGGACGTTCCAGAGTCTAGGGTGAAAGAAAGTTGTGCAGTTTGTAAGGTCGCACCCGAGCCAGCGACAAAGGCTGGTGCTAGACTTGTGGTAGTTGCAGCTCCCACACAAAGACCCTCAAAGGTGCCTGGAGTGGAAAATACATACGCATCAAGACTGGAAACACAGGCCTCTACTCGTGCAGGTTGGCAAGGTCCTAGATCAGGTAGGTAAGACTCAACTAGTGCAGTAGTACATTGGTGAAGACACGAGGGTCGAAACGCTCACGGTGGAGGTCGTCGAGGCGACGGTAGCGGTAGAATGCAGAGTCGTCAAGACTCCAGCAGGTAGAGGCAGCACCACAGCCTATCAGAGGCTAGTACCCGCAGGGGCAGACGTCTCGCCCACTACTAGCTGAGCCACTGCTGAAGGCGCCACACTTTGGACCTGCACATCCCCACTGCCGTGAGTGTTGCACCTGGTCCTCCTGCTGTAGTACCCTAGAATACGCCATGTGAGGAGCTAGAAACGGCGGGTGGTTCTGGCAGGTGTGGGGGGGATTCAAGAGCGGGTGTTGGGGGGGGGGGGGGGAGGGGGGCTGGAGGGCGGTGTCTTACTGGTGAGCCTAAGTTGCTGATGGTGCTGCTGGTGGCAGCCTAAGCTGTAGTTGGTTCTGCCGGGGGCAGCCTAGGCTGCTGCTGGTGCGCTGGGATCGCCCTATGCTGCTGCTGGTTCTGCTTGGGTAGCCAATTCTGCTGCTGGTTTTGCTGGGGGTATGCTGCTGTTGGTTCTGCTGGGGGCGGCCTATGCTGCTGCTGGTTCTTCTGGAGGCAGCCTATGCTGCTGCTAATGCTGGTTCTGCTGGGGGCAGCCTTTGCTACTGCTGCTTCTGCTGGGGGCAGCCTAACCTACTGCTAGTTCTGCTAGGGGCAGCCTAACCTGCTGCTGGTTCTGCTGGGGGCAGCCTAAGCTGCTGTTGGTGCTACTGGTGGCAGTCTAGGCTGCTGCTAGTGCGCTAGCAGCAGTAGAAGCTGCTGCTGGTGCTACTAGTAGTAGACTGGGCTACTGCTAGTGCATTGGCGGTAGTGGGAGCTGCAGCTGGTGCTAATGGTGGCAGTCTAGGCTGCTGCTAGAGCACTGGCAGCAGGTCTGGTAGCTCGTGGAGAGGCAGGTTTCAGCATGGGCGGCGACTTTGATAGCGGGTGAGGCAGGTAACTGGTATGGTAGCTCGTGGGGAGGCGGGTTTCAGGTGTGGGGCAGCGGGTTTCAGATGTGGGGCGTTGAGTTTATGGTGGGGCGGCAGTTTCAGGTGGGGCCGCGGTTTCAGGTGGTGGGCCGGTCAAGGTAGCAGGCGACAAGTGAGGAAGGGCACGGCTAACGGGCTCTAACTTGCTCGCGGCTGCTGCTGCGAGTGTATGCGCCCGCAGTATACGTGCGCGCGGCTGCATGTGCGGCTAATGCTGAGCGTGCAGCTATGTACGACCGTCTGCTGCGTACTAGCGGGCTGGCGGGCAACGCGTGGGAAAAAAACGAGTGGG